GAATCTGTGTGTGTGGCTATGGAAATGCTATCATCCACACTGAGATTATCTTTTGGTCTGGTTAGTTTGGGCCTATCTATGCTCTGTATATAAGCCCATAAACCAGCCCACTGGTTTTTCCAAGTTGTTCTCCACTGGAATTTTATTTTGGTCTGTTGTTATTTCCTATCTGGGGTAAATAAGTGCTTGTTTGCACCTTCCCAGGAAAAAGTCACACAACATAAACACACACACACACACACACACACACACACACACGTGCATATGCTACCGCATCTAATAATATGAAATAAGCATTGTTAGATCTAAAGGGAAAGATAGATTCAAAAACATTAATAGTAATTGATCTCAGTACCCACTTTCATGAACGGGCAGGTCATTCAGACAAAAATTCAGCCAAGAAACATCAGGGTAAAATGTGATACAGACAAAAGGCACATTGGTAACACTTAGATCTTGAGTTTTTCCCAAAAGCTTATTATTAAAGAAGTGACCTTATTTGGTAGTGCTGTTACAAGGTCTCAGAAATACTAGAGGTGGCCCTAGTTAGGAGAAGTAGGTCCTTCAAGGCTGTATCTTGTTCCCTTACCCCGTCTCTCTCTGCTTCTTGGCTATCACGAGGTGAGTGAGCAGCTTTGCCTTGTTATGTCCCCTTGTCAAGGTTTTCCTACTTTGCACAGACCCCAGAGCAAGGAAGCCAACAAGGATCTGAAGCCACAGGCCCAAATAAGCATTTTCCCCTTTAAGTTTGTTTTCTCAGGCATTTTGTCAAAATAATGAAAAACTGACTAGTAAACACATGAAAAAGCTAATGTACCATGTGAAGCCGAATTTATTCCAGAGATGCAAGGATGATTTAACACATAAAAACTGAAAACCATAATGCATTACAATAGCAAATAGGATCAGAGCAGTTTCATTAGTCAGTACAGAATAAAACATTCATTAAAGTTGAACATTCCTTTATGAAAAAACCCACTAGGAGTTATGTATAGAAGGGTTAGATATGATAAAGCCACCACTTCCATGTGCTAAGTGGAAGGAGCTGAAGGTGTTTCCTTTGAGATCTGAAAAAATAATAATTCCACAATTTCTACTCTTATTCAGAATGGTCAAAGGAAGTTTTACAAAAGAAATCAGCAGAAAGGAATAAAGTATATTGAATTAAAAATGGGTGTCAGATAATCTGTTTTTATAGAAAAGTCTTAGAAATAGAAAACCCTAAAAACACTGACTAAAACATGTTGGAACACAAAAATTCAGTAAAGATATAGGAAACACAATCAACAAAAAAGAAACATTTTGTATGCCATGAATACACCAACAAAATATGACAAAACCCACAATAACCCCTGGCCAAGTAACAAATAGGAGACTAGAATGGAACCCAGTGGCATGGCATATGTACAGTGTGCCCACTTCTGAGGAGGAGGAGGACAAAAACTCAGTAGCAGCAGGGTCACATTAATTCTAATAAAGTAGATAGAAATAAATCCAACTAAAGCATAAAAAAATCTCTCCAATCAAAATTATAAAACACTAGTGAAATAAATTATGGAGGACTGTTGGAGGGAACTCTGCTTGTTTATTGGAGAGAGAGAGATGCCATGGAGCCGCCACAGGAGATAGACATGCTGAAACTTTAGCTGATAAGCAACAGCCACGTGGAGATACACAGATTAATAGAAATGGGTTAAATTAATATAAGAGATAGCCAATAAAAAGCTAGAGCTAATGGGCCAAACAGTGATTTAATTAATACAGTTTCTGTGTGATTATTTCGGGTCTAAGCTAACTGGGCGGCCGGGAACCAACAAGTGGGCCTTCCTCCAACAGAGGACACGTGCACTCATGTGAGCACGCACACACACACACACACACACACACACAAACCCGGAGAGACGTGTAAATGGAAAACTACATATTTAACACAGAAAAATAAAGATAGATTCCTGCATGTAGATACAGAGCAATTCACCAGAATCTGGGAAACCTTCAGCGGCCATACTTCCAAAAAAAAAAAAAAATGAGTCCAACACCCCCAGTATTCTTGAATGGCCAATAGTACCCAGCAAGGGTGGCAGCTCAGGAGTTCCTCCCGGATCCATAGTATCTGATAGGATTTGATGAATGTGGTACAAGCTCAGGCAGGCAATCACAACTTCAGAGAGCTCCTGAGTGTAAGCACCTTTCATGCCCAGAAAAAGCTGTTTCACAGACGTCTTCCTCTGTCTCTGTCTCTTACAATCTTTTTGGCACCTCCTGTGTGATGTTCTCTGAGTCTTGGGGTGAAGAGATCTAATACAGATATTACATTTGGGGCTGAACACTCCACCGTCACGTATTTTCTGTGCTTTGACCATTTGCGAGTGCGTATGTTGACTGCTTTCCAGTGCAAAAGGAAGGATCTCTGATGAAGATTGAGAGCTGCATTAATAGAAAAATAAAGGTAAATATTTAGAAGGCAAGCTGATTGCAATCTCTCTTTAACAGAATAATAGTAGTAGGTTCCCCTTGAGCAACTGTGACATTTTAGCCATCTGTTCTTGGCCAGGTTTACAATATCATATGTATATTCCATTCTGTGGAGTGGGCCTTGTGTTCAATCAGAAAGGTTGGTGGCTCCCATGACATCCATGCCACTATTTCAGCAACAATCATATCTTATTAGGTCAGTCATTACCATAGCTCGAAGTACTCACAGCTGGCAAGGATGTTGATGACTTTTCTCTCTCATCAGCCTGAATAACATGTTCTGTCACTAGGAAAGTTAAGGACAAGGGAGCTTCTGGGTCAATACCAGACTGATTTTTCTGTTATAGTTTGGGTATTTTAAGTATATCTTGCACTTTTAAAAAATTAATTTTATTTGTAGTGCCATTCCTGAATTTAGCCTGCCTTTTCCCCTCATGTTTTTTTCTTTAAAAAAAAATTAGTTCATATTTTATGAAAGATTCTCCTCATTCTACCTCCACTATTATTAATTTTAGAAACTTCTGTATATATTGGATATAACTTATTTTTCTGTATGATACCTGGAAATTTTTTGGGAAATCTGCTCCCCCCTCAAAAAAAATCTTAGGAGTTTCAATTTCTTAGCATGGAAGGTATATAAATTTAATCTGTCACACCTATTCAAGGTATGAAGTTAGCATTTCATTGTTATTAATGATAATTTCTTCTTCCTAGAAAAACAACAAGCAGCAATTTACATATCTTCAAGCCAGGGGGTTAGAACCAATTGGATAGGTCTTTAATTATCCTACCTTTGTAAACAGGTCTCCCAAGTTTATCTACCAAGATCATATTGTTTGGCTATAGACTGGACAAGCCACAACCTAAAAACAACCTAAATGCTTTTTGACTGAAGAAGGGGTAAAGAAGATATTGTACACAACAAAGTATTACACAACAGGAAAAAATAATGACATCTTGAAACTTTCAGGCAAATGGATGGATCTAGAAAGGATAATATTGAGTGAGGTAACCCAGACCCAGGAAGGCAAATATCATATTGTTCTCACTCATAAGTGACTTTTAGACAAAAAACAAAGAATAACCAGCCTACAATTCACAATCCCAGAGAACCTAGACAACAAAGAGGTCCCTAAAAGAGACAGACATGGATCTAATCTACATGGAAAGTAGAAAAAGACAAGATCTCCTGAGTAAATTGGGAGCATGGGAACCATGAGAGAGGTCAGAAGTGGATGGGGGAGGAAGGTAGGGGAGTGAAGAAAAATATATAGTTCAATAAAAACAGGGGTAAAAACTGTAGCCCACAATCATACTTGACTGCCATGCCTCCAGGGGCCTGAGTTTTACACACTGTTGTGCCTTTGAGTTCACCTGCTTCTCTGCCTCTGAAGGACATTTTTTTTTCTTTGTTCCAGCTTGGCTATGTATTTGAAAATATTTTTCAGCATCTTTACTATAGCATGTGGACTTTTCTTGCATCTCTAGGTCATAGACTAAATTGATGGAGGAGGGTTAACTGTCTATGTGTTATTTTCATTGGTTAATAAAGAGACGGCCTTGGCCCTTGATAGGACAACAGCTTAGATAGGTGGAGAAGGCAGAACAGAATGCTGGAAAGAAGGGAAGTGAAGCAGACGCCATGATTCCCCTTCCCAAGAAGGATGCTGGCTAGACTCATGCAGTAAGCCATGACCTCGTGGTGGCATACAGATTATTAGAAATGGGTTAGTCAAGGTGTGAGAGTTATCCAATAAGAGGCTACAGATAATGGGACAGACAGTGTTTAAATGAATACAGTTTCTGTGTAATTATTTCGGGTAAAGCTAGCCAGGAGCTGGGTGGCGGGAATGCGGCCCGCCGCTCATTTCTTTTACACTAAATGCCTATTAATCTGCCTGCACTCTAACACAGTAGTTAAAGAAAAGCAGAGTCATACAAAAATATTTTTTATCAAAATAGAGCAAGAAGAATAAATGTTTATGATGTTTTCTAATTTCTGATCCACTTTCCTTTGCTTCTTTGCCTAAACTGTTTTTGTTTTTTGAAGAAGCTACTGTTTTCAAAACACTTGATAGAAAAGACATATTTGTGTCTGTTACTTTCAGCCTGATCTCATATTTAAAGTAATCAGTTTCACTCATAGTTTCGTCATAGTTATGCTAAGGAGTTGCTCTCAAAGGCACAAAACATGAATTCTCCAGGCAAGCTCTTTCTGTTGTAGATGGGTAAGGTTGGTCAAAGCCTCCGTGTCTCACTCTCTGCACCCTGACAACATTTTGCTTTTCTCTTCCGGTTTGTGAACGCTTCAGTTCTTTGGTAACAGGTTCTTGCAACTGTAAAGTAGAAGTACATAGATGTGAGAAGTCATGTAACGGTTAACGAACTTACCACGGTTGACAACGCTCTCATTGTAAATCAGTCTGTACTCAGCAAATAAAAATCATTATTAGTTGTATAAACACAAAAAACCCATTTTGACTTCCAGAATGTCACACTACTTCTGTACCTAGCATTTTGAGTCCTTATATTTGCAATGTTACACAAACTGTACTATTTTCTTTTATGTACAGTTTGCATGACTGAACCATCAGAGAATAAATTCTATCTTTAAATTAAAAAAAAAGAAAAGACATATTTCCTGTCTTTGGAAATATGAGGGTTTTAACTGAGAGGAAGTTGCTGTTATATATTTGTGAATGGTTGAGGTCATACGTTAGTTACACATTTGTGTTTCTTTTCATTGGAGCTTGAAGTCTTAAAGAACAGTTGGATCCTAGAGTCATTTGAAGAACTGGTTTCCCAACTTAGGGCACTGACTCTAAATACATGGCTTCATTAAGGCTTGCACACTTTTCTTCTATTTCTCAAACCACCAGTTCCATTTGTACTGCAGTCCTGGTAAAGGACGAAGATATGTCTTTAAAACCGTCACATAAATAGATGAATATACACACAGTAGCTCTGCAAATACAATAGCAAAACAGTGATAGTTATTGCCAGAAAAACGCAGCTAAAAGACTTTACTGACCATCTAGTTCTGTAAACAAGAATCATTTATTCCACTGTGATTGATGGTCAGAGAAGCTGGGCTGTGTTCAGGGGAGCTCACTCATGTGTCTATATGATGACAATTCAGATATCTAGGTTGGGCCAAGATGAGGAAGCTTGGCTGGGCTTGAAGTGTCTCTGGAAGATGAGGGCTCAGTCAACCTATGCTGTTTTAAGGTTATTGGAGAAAGTGAGGATAGCTGGCCAAGGCCTGGATGCGTCTGTCTGCTATGGGTCTGCTGAGAGCTCATTGGTGAAAGTAAATTATAGTCAGGCCCAACACTGTTGACATTAGAAGCATTCGACTTCTGTGGACATTTCCGAAGCATCCTTCTAAAAGTGTCTCATGCAGAAAGATGAGAAAACTTTCTTAAGTCCCTCAGATTTCTATTCAGTTACAGGAATAATTATGAGTGTCTACCATTTTCTGAATATTTACCATTTGCACAATAATTTATAATACTGAAAAAATCATGATAACATTTCAGCAAAAAGCTATCATTTTAATTTTTATTTTTTATATAAAAAACCCAGATGTGTGAATAAGTGGGTATTTGTGTCAAGTCTGTTTCTTGTACATTTTATTGGTCTCTTCCTTCTGTGTGTTTGTATTGTGCTAGTTAATCAGTGTGTCAGTTTTTGTTTTATATTATTACATCTCATTTCATTATTATCCCATAGACTCTGTTTATTTCCTAATGAGAGGCAGAAAGGGAGTGGATCCAGACGGGAGGGAAAACGGAAAGGAACTGGAAGGAGCAGGAGAGGGAAAGGAAACGGTAGCCAGGATATAGTATTTGACAAAATATGCGTTTTCAATAAAAGGAAAAAAAAGTATCTCAGAAAATAGTAAGTGGCTCTAGGTCAAATGGCTAGTAGATACTAGCATACTCAGTAGGACTCTGTTGTCCTGAGTTCAAAGTCATGCTTTCAATCCATGCTGTTTTCACCAGCGCATCTTAAACCTGTTGGAAAAAGTCAAGTTTTAAAAACTGATATAGTGGCAGGATTGGATGTTTAGAGGGTGGTATTTACTATTGAAGCAGGCATTTTGTAAGTATTACACACTGATCTGTCATTGGTTAGAATATACAACTACTGATCCTTCTTACAGATTTTTAAAGTAGTTGACTTTTTGATCCAGGTTGTTTTATCAATACTGTTATCTTGTTGTATATTTTTTTCTGATTATAGTTTTCCTGGGAAGTCTTAAATATAACTGTATTTTCCTTTATGGTGTCACAGACACTCAGTTTGTCATAATTTTTCAGATATCAAAAACATGTTTATAACTTTCCAAAAGCAATTTTCCAAAAATAGAACCAGAAATTATGTGTTCTCAATATTTTCCTTGTTGGATATATCTCCAGCAAACAAATGCACCAGCAATTTACACCCTTATGGGAAAAAAACAAATACAGAATTGACAACAGGGCTATCTCTATATTTACCATTTTCAAAATACAGGACATTTTAATTGCTGATAGTTGGGTTTATGATGAAGGTTGTATAAAGATGTGTAAAATGAATATGGACTAGAAATATGATTATACAGCAGGAACTCTAGGTTGGCTCTGTGACTGGTTTTGTCTACGACTACCTACTTCATTTTAGTAAGGCCACATTGTCCCTCAGGGCACTCAGTGCAAGTCTCCCCTATGATCAAATGGTCATGTTGCACACTTTAAGTCTTCTATGTTTTCCACTCTTACTTTTGATATAGCAAATTTTCTCATTGATAGTTTATCTATTCTTTTTTTTTCTGTTCAGAGGAAAGTAGATTGATAGATGGGGAGAGTCTGTCAGGAGTTGTCAACGAGCCACGTGGATGGGGGCTTCTTGCATCAGACACGAAGTCATTGATTTCAGATACAGATCTCTGAAAACAGCCTCAGAAAGTGCAGCGTAGTCCCTGAGTCCTTGTGTGAAATAGTTGCCCTTCTTGCTAACAAACTGCAGTTTTATTTGTACAGCAATATTGATATTCCCGGCTTTTGTTCCCAGGAAGATCCTTTCTGAGCAAGAGCTCTTGAAGCTGATGACACTCCTGTGGCTGGGAGGATGCAGATAGGCAGCAGGCCCAGTAAGAAATACCTAGAGTTAGATATGGACAATGTTCTCAATGCTCTCGGAGCTCTGAATGCCAAGAGAAGCAGGGCCAGGATTTTACAGAGTGTATAAGAGAGAAATAATAATTCATCGCATAGAAGAATTATTTTCTTGGACTCTAACTGGCACAGACCAGGCACTGAAACTGCAGTTTCCACAAGAACAGCAAGAACCATGGTGTTCCAGATGCTAGGCTTCTTGGCCACTTGTCGCTCTTGAAGCATTTCCGAAGCCACTCAGTTCTAGACTTTTCCAAATGCCTCGCCTGGCGCAATGTTTGGGGCAAATGAACCTCTAAGCAGAGTGTATGCGAGAGCAGAATTCCCCACTGGCTACATTTCTGTGTGTCTTCTTTACCTTCTGAACATATCCTTATTTTTTCTATTGAGTTCACTTCTTTACTTGCCTTTGAATTTGTATAAATAATGGAGAATCTGCTTAGCGATTATGACCTGTTGATTCACTTGAAAGAATGAATTCTGATTTCCTTATTCTTTGGTTGAGTGACTTTATATCACAGATTCTTAATCTGATAACATAACCTTATGAAGAGTTTCAACAATATACCAAGAACTGTGGGTAAAGTAATTTGACTGAACTTTTTAAAATCACAATTAAAGATGAATTTATTCTTTAAATTTCCTCCCTTGCCTACCTACTTTTATTCCTTCTTTCTTTTTCCTTCCTTTCTCCTACTCCCTCCCTCCCTTTCTTCCTTCCTTCCATCCTTCTTGTCTCTCTCTCCCTCCCACCTCCTTTTCTCCATTCCGTCCTTCTTTTCTTTTTTTCTCTATTTCATTTCCTTACTTCTTTATTCTTTCTATCCATCTTTTGGCTGCCACAATACTCAGTTAAATGATACTGTGTATAGAATGCAGCCAATAGCAGTTTGCCTTTGAGGAGTATGCCTCCTTGTTTAAATCTCTATGGAACAAACCACCTCTGTCAACCAACTCTTTCATTTGGCTTAAATTGCTGACCAAGAGGTCAGTTTTGGTAAAGAAGTCTGGATCTGAAAATGATGAGAATAAGAACGACCTCTTCATACTGACACTGTATCCTCAGGTAGTATATTTCCTTATCCTCATGTAACTATGGGTGTTCAGTGAATCCCAGCGTTCTGACCCAGGGCGTTCTCTCCCGTCCACACTTCTGCTTTATGGAAGTCTTCCCTAGACTCCACACCACAGTGATCAAGCAGTACCCCAGTCTTTCCTTCTTCAGGAAAGTTGCTGTAATTAGACTGACCTTACAAAAACTGTTCCCCTGATAAGCAAAGCTATTTGAGTGCAGCATTTTTGTGGACACATGATATTTTCTCCATCTCCTGCGTTAAAAAAGAGCTTGTTGTCCAGACAACAGTGTTTGCTGCTGGCTTCCAGGTGGCACCACTTTCTCCATCTAGCAGACTGTCTCCTTGGAGCTTCCACGACGTTCAGCAGCTGTTTCCTGATGGTGTTTCTTACACTGGAGAGATCTTCAAAGGCATAGCTCACCTGCTTCACAGAGACATTTATTGATCTTCTCTGATACTTTCTGACTTGGTCTCTTTCACACTGTAGGTCCTCACAAAGTCAACATGGGGCTAGTGCAAAAGTTACTGATTACTGGGCAGCAGTGAAGAGAGAGAGCCATTCCAAGAGTTTTGAAAAATGGTTAGGGCCAGTTCTTCAACAAGCAGTTGCTTCAGCGATATTTTCCTCAGTGGTCCCCAAATGTAGCACTGATCACTTCATCAGTGATGACCAGTGTAAACTGGGCCTTCAGTGAATAAACACATTTTTATTTTCAAACTGTGCTTACAGATGGAATAGCACATGATATGGGGTCTAGAAGCAAGAGGCTTTAGACTGGGTCTAGTGATTGAATGATGAATATAATTTCTTTTTATTAGCCATTGAGAAAGTATAAATGATTTTAAATTTTCACCATGAGAGGAGCCAGTATAGGAATGCAAAAATAGTCTGTTTATGTTGTCTCAGATAAATTATGTCATTTTCCTGAATCTTATTTTATCTTTTCTGATATAATTAATTATTTCTTTTAGAAGCTGCCCAATTAAAACATTTGCCTAAGATAAAGTGTATATTTTAAGGTATTAACAAAACATACATAAAACCCGCATTTATTGTACTTTGTTGTGGGACATCTTATTTAGTTATTTCTTTTTGTAAAAAAATATAGAGTAGTTAGGCAAACTGTGAAGGCTAGATTTAATTTGGCCTTTCTTCCTTATTCCCTCTCACCTTTCCTCCCTTCTCCTTTTAAAAAATGTTAAAATATGTGTGTTCTAATGAGTATGTGTGTATGTGTGTGCAATTACCTCTGGGAGCCAGAAGAGGGCACCAGATTCCCAGGAGCTGGAGTCTGATGTGATTGTTGCTTGGGAACTTGAACTTGGGTTCTCTGCAAAAGCAATGCATGCTCTTAAATACTGAACCATCACTCCAGCAAATGCTCCCTCAATTCTTTCTTAAGGCTTGGGTATGGCTGGGAGCACACATGAAAAGCAGGACAAGATGCGTTGAAGTTACTCACGTACTCTGTGGAGAAGAATTTTTTCATTTGAGTAACTTGACCTGTCACGACTGCCTCGAACCAGCAATGACGACGCGACAATGGAACTCTTCTTGCACGCAGTTTATTCAGGACCTTTGCTTCTCTCTCGCTTCTCTCCCATTTTTCTCTGTCTGTTCCGGGGCAGACCTCTCCCAGCCCTTACATATGCTTTGGTCACCTATCCCGGAGTGCCACGTGGACATCGCCCATAGGCTCAAGCATACGCAAGCGACACACGATCATAGCGAGTTACGGGCCTTCACCATAAAAGGAGTTGTTTATCACAGACAGCGCTCGCTTTCAGGCTAACGGATGGCGGCAGCCTGCGCCATCTTAAACGCACAGCTCCAAGCAGCTCTCTACATTGACCCTTGCTCTTTGAGCCAAGAGATCAGATAATTGTGAGCACTTTTGAGAATATCAGATCCTATAGTTTAAAGTAGAAAGTAATTCTTAGTTTGTATGTAGAAAATAGATACAACCATTTCTTCCCCATGAATATTTCAGATCAAGAGACAGTGTGGTTAGATCATTGCCCTGGGAATCAGGTGACTTGGGGGCAAGTTCTGACCTAGATATGTCTGAGACTCCTCAGGCGAAGATTCTCTTTCTGGTTCTTTTTTCTTCTCTGTAAAACAAAGAGGTCAGATTCAAAGATCTGTGATACTTTGCACTTTTGAAAATTCTGTGAAGCTGTAGTTTCTGAAAAGACTGGATCTCTTCTGATTGTTTTGTTTCTTTTACATTTGAGAGCCCACTGTGATTCATAGAAACTTAGGCTTTACCAGGAAAAGCCAATTCTGGGCAGATAATACAAATGGGCTCGTGCCTTGCATACATTACTGATATGTACAGGATATATTATAAGCTTTAGATTTGGTCTGGTCTGTTTCATAGAGTTTGTGTGCAAATAGAAGTTTTCAACCAAATACCAATGTTTGGAATCTTGTTTTACATCTGGTTTTAAAACGTCACAATTAGAGATTGACTTTTACAGTAGAGAAGTGATAACCTTTCTACCTTAATATTTGTTATTCTCAAAGATGCAGTTACTGGAATTTTGAAATGGGTCAAACTGCTTTTAACCTGGCTACTGTTATTCAATTTTATCAATTCTTCATTTTCTATTAACAGAAAATCTGTTTCATGACTTCAATACATAAAAGGTAGAAAGATCACGAAGTAGCCTGAAGCAGATAAATATTGACCCAGTCAAATGTACGTGCTGCCAAGTATTAGAATAACTAATAATTTTGTCATGGGACCAAGCCAGGAACACGTCCAACCTCTTCACGCCTATCTTAGCCGCTGGATTTATCTCACTTGCTTCCATTTCTTGTTTAGTAAACAGCTGCTTTCTGTTAGATTATTTATACCCTTAACCTTTATAAATGACAATGACGTCCACTAGCCTGTCAATAGCATGTCATTTATTTGTTGCTACAGCTGAGCCTGACCTTCATTGATTTTATTGGAGTAATTTGCTGGAAATGATTTTTTAATGTTAGATTTATTGCCGAGGCACTTCATTGTCAGGTAATTGAAGTAAATTGTAAATTTTTTTTTTCCAGATGAATGTAAGAAGCACAGGCAGAGCTGCATGATTCTCAGGGATCTTTAGTGACTGGGAGAGGCATACAGCTCGCATCATAAACTTTAAAATTTTGTAAATAAGGAATATTTTAAATCGTGTGTATTTAATTTTTTAGCTTTTTCTTAAGGATTGCTGAGTAGCTGACAATGAATTAGAATTAAAAATGGTGTTGCCAATAAAATCTGATCTACACATAAATCTATCCACAGTGGCGCTGTGTCTTATCAGATGGGTGTTGCTATTCCGAAGTGCAGATTCAGTTTTGAGCACAGTGATGTCACATAGCCAGGGCTTGCTCTTCCGCTGGCGTTAGCTTGTTCTCCAGTACCATCGTTACTAATGGGTTTAGTATGTACTGCTTTGTTCTCCACATACCTTGTTTGCCCTTGCAGTAAAGACTGTTTCTGTCTCCACGTGACACTTCTTTAGTATCTTCGTACTTGTCTTATTGGCTGATGTCAGGAGTGACCACACACTTGCCATATCCCCGCAGTAGAAGAGACACTAAACCTTGTATTTCATAAGCCGTTAAGGTATTGGTTACTCTGTGATTGACTGGTGTGCTGTTGGATCCCAAGGCTAGCAGGACAAGGTCAGAAAACTCTGCCAGCAAAGCTGATAGTTTTGTTATTCTGAAACTGAATTTGGATTCTAAATAAAAGGAATGTTCAAACTCAACTTTCCAATATTAGCTGATGGAAAGTGCTGTGTTTTGCAATCTAAATGTCTGTTCCTTGTTTGGCCCGAAGATTCCCAAAATATTGCAATTAGTTAAGGGAGGCGGAGCTGACCTTTGGCCTTATTCTCAGAGGAGCACCTCCATTGTTTCACTTTCTGAGAAGGAAATCAGAGAACGATCTCGTCATCAGAAGCAGAGAGAACACTGGGTCAGAATCCTCTGGAAACCTTATTTTAAAGCAAAGTAAGAATTTCTTAAAACCAGAGCTTAAAGCTACTTGAAAATATATTTTATACCTTTTAGAAAATTTCTGAAAATGCTAACTTTCCTGTCAGTGTAAAAGCTACAATAGGGCCGTGCGAATGGATGTTGGTGATGTAATCGCTTCTGTTCAAGTTATCAATGAATTATTCTCCCACCGTATATTTTAGAGTTAATTTTGCACAAACTTTAATAGACAGCTAGATTATTGCATTATCAGACATTTAAGATTCACATGCATGATATCTTGGGAGGGAGGAGTAATTATATTAAGAATAAAATTCATGAAGTTTAACAAAGCAGAATCTGCTTTCCCATGAGGCATTTGAAGTCCTGATCACAGAATAAGATGAGTGAGGAGGTCGTGAATTCCTCCTCATGTGGAACCCTCGCATTCTGCTTTAATTTAAGCAGAAATTACAGGAGACGGGGAAGGGGGGATTTGTAAAGACTTTCTTGCTTTCACACTGCCACATGCCTTTGCTGTCTCTGTTCCTGTCACTATTATTGATACGAGGGATCCATCAACATATTTTTATGGGTGATTAAGAAAGGCTGACCTTTCCTTTGCAGGTACAAATAGGTAGTTCTTCAGAGGCTGCAACTGAATGACAAGATAATTCTACCCATTTAATATTGAAGTGATGTTGATAGTATCATTCTTCTCGGGTTGGAAACAGGACAGTGCAGGGGCCTTTTCTGCCTCAGTCTGTTCTGCCAGGGGTGATGGATTTCCCTCTGACTAATCGCTGTCACATTAACCCGCAGTATTTCATCCTTCAGAGCTGTCAAGATAATGACGATAATCCAAGTGGTTCATTGTAGGTAAAGGAAATTATATGAGCAAAGTAATATCATAAAACAGTGTTTAAATATTTTAATTTCATTTGTCAGGGCTGCCCCAACACTTCATTACACATATAACCATCTCTCATCAGTGGAATTAGTGCATTATTCATTACTGTTAATTATTTTCACATAATGGCTGCCCTGATATATTTAACCTCCACATTATATCTCAGATAATGGGTCTGTAAAATTGAATTGTGTGAAGAGCGGAGTTCTAAAGCTCATTTGCAGAACATCAAAGAACAAAGAAGAGGAAAAGAATTCTAAATGGGACGTTTTGCCCAGCTGGGGCCAAACATTTGTTTCTGTCTGATTTGCATACAGAAAATAGGTGGTGTAGAAGTGGCTTAGTACTGTATAGGCTGCCGGCTCCTGTTACACAACCAATTAGGATTAGTTAATATTACATACATTCAAAACAACTTGAGAATTATAGCAGAGAAAATGGGGGAGCTCACAGGGTATCCTATGTAGTTCAGAAAAAAGTAATTTCTTTAAATAGATGATTATAAAGGGCAAAAATGAGGGACTGGGAAAGAGAGCCAGCGAGCAGGAGAATGAGCCAGAGATGACGGAGAAATGGGGCAGAAAAGATGCAAAGTTTCAGATTATTTTTTTAGTTCAAGAATGACTTTCATAATAGACACGAGTTTTGAAAAGTAATAAAAACTAAGAAAATCATGAAAGTCCATTTAGATTCTAGTCATTCGTTTCTATCATGAGTGGTATAAAAACAGCCACGTAGGCTCATGATAACATTTTCTCAGTAACTGAAAGTCCTTTCAACATCCATGTAAACAAGACATCAACTTAGAACCAAGTAAGCTGTGCAGAGGCCAAGTTTTTATGTTACCTCTCCATAACGATGTGATTAACCGAGTCCAAGTACATCTGTCTTAACATGTGTTTAGGATGCTCTTTCTGAGTGCAGGGAACTGAAGCAAAAGCCAGTTGGAAATGGTGCCGTCTTGAGAGGGAAGGTCTGGAAGGAGGAACACTCTGCAAGGCATGCGAAATGGCTTCTGGAGTGTGGAGTCTAGGCCTTGAGGTTAAAGGAGTGGGTTAAAGAGAGGCTAAAATTCACGGAAGGTTTATAGGGTCCTTTTGCAATAGTAGCTAGTTTGATTATAAAATTAAAAAAAAATTAACTATATATGCTGCAACAAAACATTTTGACCAAAAGCCCCTCACTGGGGATCACTTGTCTCAGCCTACATCTTACACTCCATTATGGAGGAAACTCAAGCGGGAGGCTGGAATTAAGCCTCTGAGGAATGCAGCTCCCTGGCTTGCTTTCAGTAGAATAGACCTTCTGTTAACCTTGACTGCCAAGTTTAACCATCATAGCTGTCCCCTAGATCCGATACTTTGTATCCTTGATTTTACATCAAGGAAAATGCTCCATTCCATTTTCCTACCCTCACACCCAGTAACCACTGTTTAATTTTCTATCTCTGCATATTTGATTTGTTAATTGTTTTTTTTTTCCTTTGTGTGTCTCTGAACATGCGTGTGTACCATGTGCATGCAGGTACCTTCAGAGCCGGAGGAGGGCAGCATCTCTTGTAACTGGAGGCTGTGAACCCCTCAGACATGAGTGCTGAGGATATAATCTGGTCTTCCTCAGGAGCAGCAAGGGCTCTCTCCCTTGCATTTGACTTTTTAAAAAAAAGTGATTCCATGTACGAATGATACCATCCAAGATTTTTCTTTCTGTGTATGGATTACTTCACTTTTCATAATAATATTCTTAAGGATTACTTGTTATATACAAATGGCAAGACCTCATTCTTCCCAAGCTTGAACAGCATTCCATTACTTTTAATATAATATGCTCTTTATTATTTGTTCCTCAATAGAGAGTCACATTGCTGCCATACCTTGCTCTATATAGATAACATTAAAATGGACATGAAAGGGCAGATGTGTTTTTGCACATCAACTTCAATTTTCTATTTCTTTTTAATACATAGTAATCTTGACTAGAGGGTGCAGTACTACGCAGAAATTCTATCCTTATCTTATTGTTTTTAGGAACTTCTAATGCTATTTTTAAGTGCTATACTAATTTACATTCCTAAGATTGTATTAGATTTCCCCTTTCCCTGCATTCTCACCAGTGCTTATAAAAATTGCTTACACCAAAAAAAAATTGCTTATACCGATCTATCAGGAGTGTGTTCCTATCTCATCATCATTCTAATTTGTATTTTTCTGATAAGTGATTCTGATTATTTTTATCTGTCTATTGGCCATTGATCTATCTTTCTTTCTTTTCTCTTTTTTTGCTTTATGAAGCTGTGTCTTGCTATGAAGCCCTGATAGCCTAGAATACGGTAACTAGAAGAGAATGACGTAATTGATTCTCCCTTAGGCTCCTCTGTGCTGGGAGCACAGGTGAGCACTGTGACACCTGGCCGCACAGTTGTCTTTGGAACACGCCTCCTCAGGTCTTGTTATTTTTGTTGTTGTTGTTGAACCACTTGAATTTGAGTCAGATAAATAGCTATTGAGGAGTCTCTTCCAATTCATGAGCTGTCTTCTGCATCTGTTGTTTGTTTTGACACAGGGAGACTCTTTTAGTCTGATGCAACCCCATTTGTTTATTTATTTCTATGTTGACTATAATTTTAGAGCATTTCCCATACAATATAATTGAGATTTTTTTTTTACCAGATATTCTTTTAGTATCTTTATGCTTTTGGATCTTAGATTTAAGCTTTTCATTTTTAAGCCATTTTTATTTTTGTTTATGACTTGAAATAAACCGTTTTATTCTTCTGCATGTGTGTATACAGCTTCCCCTATACTATATGTTGAAAATCTTGTCCTTTTTCAATCTGTATTTTTGACACTATTGTTAAAAATAATTGGCAATCAATACCAGGGTCTTCTGAACTTTGCATCTTGCTACATTGATCTGTATATCTGTTTCATACCAGTAGTATTTTGGTATAGGAAGTCCTTCTGTATATGTGTTGCTTTTATTGGTTAATGAATAAAGAAACTACTTTGGCCTGAGATAGGGTAAAATAGAGCTAGGTGAGAAAACTAAACTGAAAGCTGGGAGAAAGTAGGTGGAGTCAGTGAGACGCCATGTAGCCTTCAGAGGAGAAAGATGTAAGCTGCCAGCTGGAACCTTGTCAGTAGGCCACAAACCTTGTGGTAAAACATAACATAATAGAAATGGGTTAATTTAAGATGTTAGAGCTAGCTAGAAATATGTTTAAGCTATTGGCCAAACAGTATTGCAAATAATATAATTTCTGAGAGATTATTTCGGGTCTGGGCAGCCAGAAACAAATGAACAGCCTCTGACAACAGAATGGTGCCCAACGTGTGCTAGCTAAATCCACATAAAACCTGAGAGAGCTTGGATACCTGTTTAGGATTAGGAGAAAAGCAGTGGAGACCATGCTTGTGGCTCCGCACCCACTGCCTGGACAGGCATTGGGATTGAGTCTGCTAGGTGTGCACAGGCAGGAGAGCATGGCAGATTTCTGCAGCCATACAGAGAGATGTTTCCAGGCTGTGCAGTGTGCTGGATGGCAAATTTAGCTTTTATTCAGATAAAAGGGGTTTATATACTGCATGGTGCTACCCAGAGTTAAGGTGGTGGGATGGTTCCCACTCATCAGTCCCAGAGCCAGAGGTAACAACTCCACCATATTGAAAGCCTGAGAGGGGCAGAGTCACTGTGACCAAGCTGCTTACCATTTCAAAGTGCTCCTGATCAGAAAATAATTACAGATACACATGCAATAAAGACAAATACAGATGGAAAAGACCTCTAAATAGGTCACA